GCTTGAGCCTAGTCCGAGACCCTAGGCTAGGGCCTGGGCCATCACTTTGAAGTCCGACCCGGCCCATCTGCCCGGTTAAGGCCCATTCAAGGCTCAGTCCGAGGCCCGACTCGCGCCGAGGCCTAGTGTTTTTTTTGTGGAAAATAATAAAATTTTGGTAGAAAAAATTAAAAATAATTAAAAAAATGGCCAGGCCCGCCCCGGGCCACCTACGGGCCGTGGGCGGGTTTCGGGCAGCCGCGAGGCGCGGGCTAATTTTACACTCCTATCAATGTGAATGTTAACATATCAATGTGAATATTTACATTGTCAATGGGCCGGGCCGAGCCCGCCCCAGACTGCGGGCGAGCTTTTGGCCGCCCATGGGCCGCGGACTAATTTTATACTCTTATCAAAGTGTATGTTAACATGTCAATGTGAATATTCACATTGTCAACGGGCCGGGTCGGGCCCGCCTCTAGGCCACTGGCCAATTTTATACTCTTATCAATGTGAATGTTAATATGTCAATGTGAATATTCACATTGTCAACAGGCCGGGCCGGGCCCGCTCACGGCCGCCCACGGGCCGTAGACGGGTTTCGGGCAGCCACAGGACGCGGGCTAATTTTACACTCCTATCAATGTGAATGTTAACATGTCAATGTGAACATTCACATTGTCAACAGGCCAGACCGGGCCCGCCCAATTTTATACTCTTATCAATGTGAATGTTAACATGTCAATGTGAATATTCACATTGTCAACGGGCCGGACCGGGCCCGCCCCGAGCCGCGCATTGGCCGCGGGCGAGTTTCGCGCTGCCATGGGACATGGGCCAATTTTATACTCCTATTAACGTGAATGTTAACATGTCAATGTGAATATTGACATTGTCAACGGGTCGTGCCCGTCCCGACCCGTCTCGAATTTTTTCGGGCACCCACAAGGATCGACATTGGCCGGGCCTCTACACATTGACGATATGAATATTCACATTGACGGTGTGAACATTCGCATAGGGTATTTTGGTAATTATGTCACCCATAGGACTTATTGAAACATAAGAAAATAATGTGAACTAAATGGAACATAAGTAGATGAAAAGGGTATTTTGGTCTTCTTATCTCAAATAGGACCTAATGGAATTGTCAAAAAGAATATGGGTTGGATGGAATAAAGCTCTTAGAAAGTGGATTTATCAAAAAAGCTCCCATAATAAACTAATGAACTAAAAATATGTTTCTAAAAATAAATTATTTATTGTTTTTCAAGATAAATAAAATAAAATAATAACATTACGATTATTAAATCAATTTAATTTTTTTAATAGATGATATAAACGAAAGTCCTTACAAGATGAAGCTCGGATCATCGAAAAAGAACTCATAGTTGGCCCTCCAATTCCCTTAAGTTTTCTCAAGTTCTAATTTGAACTTGAGAAAAACCAAACCTTAAACAAAATATGTAAATAATTTGAACTTGACCGTCATGTTAGGTCTAGTATTGATTTTGATGATCTGAACCATTCATTTGGTAGGGTTTTTCTATAACGCCCCGAAATAATTCAACATGAACTACCATACTAATGAACATTGACTAATCTATAACAATAATCCTTCCCTCATCTCATACATAATAAATGGATTAAATACAAAAGTTCCACTTGCGATATACATTCCAACGAATTAAAAGAACACATGAATTTATAGCATATGAAACATTTTAATCTCAAAACAATGCCCTTATGGGCTTACATCTTCCAAGGCAATAGCCCGGTTACACAAAATGGTCTCTCGGACCGAAACACATTAGCCCTTGGCTCATAGAAGATCACAACAAAATAAGAGCTATGTACTCTTTACAATTATCCGCGCCCTCAACTTGGCGGGATCACCTCATCTTTACCTGCACCAAAGTCCCATAGGGGTGAGCATAAAGCCCAGTAGAGAATTCTAACAAAGTATATACAGCTATGCAATTCTCGATAAAATGCAAGTATCAATGCTATGCCATGCTTCTTTAAAGAAATTTCATTTCATGCTTTTCTTAAAGATTTCCATTTTTCAATGAAAGCTTGCAATCTCAATACATTTCAAAACTTCCAATTTTAATCAATAGAGGGGTGGTAAATACGACACTGGTAATCCCTAGGCTGGTGTCTACAAGTAGACTCTGTGAGTACTACCAAACTGTCATTTTTACCGATATTAACTGGAAGGCTCAACACTTATCCGTGCGGTTTTCTGGTCTTTCACCATGGACACTCAGGCCAACGTAACAAAATTCATCTACGCCCCCTAATCAGACTTACCACCGTATTTACCCCTTACACATTTCCATAATTCATATCACAACGTTATTTTCTTTCATGAAATAAATATCTTCCATCAAAATTTGCAATGCAAAAATAATAATTGAATGAATATGCAATGCAATGATTTTCATAACTCATAACATTTCCCCATGTTCAAAGTCTCTACAACAATGCCAACAATCACATTTCCCATTACCTCTTTTCATTACTCTTTTTCAAGATAACCATGTGTCTTCAACACACAACATCAATCTCTCATCGATTTAATCCTTTCGAAGCCACATGTGAGGTTTTCAAATACTAACCTCCAGCATTCATAATTCTCACAATCCATTATGCAAAACAATTACCATTTCACAATTAAATATTTTTCATGCATCTAACAACAACTTAAAAATAAGTCCTCCATTTTCTTATATCAAGGAGATTACCACTTCTCTTACCAAGATGTGAATTCTATACTCACTCACCCATTTTGGCACAAGAAAATAAGTTTATTCCATGGATTTTCCATATTTTCAAAAAGCCCCAATTTTCTAGGTTTTTCACAAAAACCCTAACATTGTTCATCTCTTTTATAAAATCTCATCATACACTTCAATCTCAACTCATGTTGTCCAAAATTTCAAGAAAATCTCTAAATGAACCCGAGATAGAGTTTGTTTTACAAAAAAAATCATCAATCCCTTGAGCCACCAAACCCATTTTCGAATTTTCCAAGGAGAGTTACAAAATCAACCAAAAACTTACCTAAACACACACACACACACACACACATATATATATATATATACTTCAAAGGAAAACCCCTCTAGGATTTATAAAAGAGTTGAGATACAACCCACATTTAAAACTCTCTATATTTTTGAAACACAAGATTGAAATCAACAAGGAACTAGAAGAAAACTCTTAAAACCATCATCAAATATCAAAACTTGTATATATAACTCAAGAATGTCCCTACCTCAAGCTTGATGAAGAGAGAGAGAAGATGAAACCCTAGCTTTGATGAAAGATTCCTCCACTTTCCACAACACCAAGAGAAGCTCTAGTTCTTGATCTTCAAGATTTAGAGGAAGATGATGAGGATCTTGGCCCAAAGATTGCAAGGATCAAAGAGTTTTGGTGTTTGATGATGTTTTCTAGAGAGAATGAGAGAAATAGGGTTTAGAGTGAGAGAGAGATATAATAAAATAAGATACAAACAGCTCAAAAGAGGAGAAAAAACAGAGCCACAGATCTGCCCAGACTGCCACACGTGCGGCACCCATCTCCGCACGTGCGGAGCGCCCTCCCCGCACGTGCAGCCCTCAACCCCGCACGAGCGGTGGTCCTGCCGTACCTCAGCCCCACCTGCCTTTTAGGCAGTGTGCGACTCACCCAACTCCCCTCTTCCCGCACGTGCGGCCCAACCCCGCACGTGCGGCCTTGGCCCAGCAACCCAGAAAAATCCCGCTTTGCTCCCGGTCACTCCGGACCTGACCTTGCACTCTCCGGAACAAGTGAAATTCAATCACCGAACGAAAACAAGAATAAGAACTTTATTTGGAGCAAATTTTCCGACGTCTTCAAACTCAACGAGAGCAGAAGAACGGAGTGAGGAAGAAGAAGGAAAAGAGAGAGGAAACAAGGACCCGATCGTCACATTTTCTATATATATCATCCTTAGAAAAAATTAAGTCAATCTAATGATCATAACATTTTTATTTTATTGTGTTTGTCTTCAAAAGAATAAATCGTCTATTTTCAAAAGGTTAATGTTATGTGTACCATATGCAAAACATTTGTCAGTTTGATTATTACAAATATCGTAACTCAATTCTATGGGAGTTATAGCTAAAAACAAAAAGAGTTATAATCAAACACCATATAATCAAAGAGTCTTTGGATCATAACTAAAATAATGCTTTTGGATCACAATATGTATAACTAACTCATAATCAAGTCTTAACTAACATCTCTATATGTCATAATCAAATACTATAAAAGTCATAACTATTCCCTTCTGAAAAATATATTGGTCGTTTATTTTATCAAAGAGAAATGAGATAAAATGAAAAAAAAATTACAATTATTAGATAGACTTAATTTCTTTTATGAATAATATATATAAAAAAACACTTTATAAAAGGGCAAATTACAAACACCTCCCTCGAGGTTTGGTGAAAACACAGATTCCCCCTCTGAGATTTGAGAAATTACATTCCGCCCCTTGAGGTTCATATTTCCATAACAAATTGCCCCCTAAGGTTTTTATTTTTATACAGATTCTCTCCTAATTTCCCCTCATTTGTTATAAAAATTTGACCCTCAGGAGGCAATTTGTAATTTCTCAAACCACAGGAAGGAATTTGTATTTTCACCAAAACTCGAGGAGGATATTTGTAATTTTCCCTTTATAAAATCAATGATTCGAATAATTAAAACGGAACAGCTCTAACACAGACAGTCAAGTTTTGTGTCTTTAGCCATTAACAAAACTTGACTCTGGTTCACCTGATCACATTATAAAACCAACCACCAGCTTCAAGTTATGAAACACCTACCACTAGCACTTCCCAAGCTAAGTTCCACCCGAAAAAACCCGCGAAACCCACCTCTAAAATGTCGAAAATAACCCCCAACAACATATTTCCAAATCCTTCTCCCCATATTCGCCCTCCCACTCCTCATCCTGCCATTGCATGGAAACTCCCAATCTACAGATTCAGAACAAACAATCCTACTCAGACTCAAGCGACACTGGTCCAATCCACCCTCCATCAACCACTGGACACCATCACCACCAAACTCCAACTCCTCCATCCACTGTAATTGGCCTGAGATCACCTGCTCCAATGGCTCCGTCACCGGACTTTCCCTCATCGACAAAACCATCACCGGACCAATCCCAACGTTCATTTGTGACCTCAAAAACCTCACCGCTATTGATCTCCAGAACAATTACATCCCCGGACCCTTCCCTACGGCTCTCTACAACTGTACCAAGCTTGAACATTTGGACCTCTCCCAAAACTTGTTCGTGGGCTGCATTCCAGGCGATGTCGACCGGTTGTCGACTCATCTCCAGACCTTCAATCTCAGCGCCAACAACTTCACCTGCGAAATCTCAACTGGGTTGTCTTCTTGGAAGAATTTAACAGTGTTCAGTGCAAGTAACAACCTCTTTGTTGGTACAATTCCCCAAGAATTGACAACATTTTCTCAATTGACAGCTCTGCCACCCGATGGGAATCTATTTTCCGGTCATCTTCCATCAGATATTGTCTCGTGGAAGTCGCTGACCACTCTGAATCTCAGTCGAAACCAACTCTGGGGTTCAGTTTCTGCCAAACTTGGTTCTTTACCAAGCCTCACTGTTTTGGACTTGTCAAGGAATGAGTTCTTAGGTCAAATTCCAACTCAGATTGGCCATTTGAAGCTAACTTCCCTCAATTTGTCTTCCAACTGTCTCACTGGAAGAATCCCAGCTGAGTTTGAAAATACTTTTTCCGACGGCAGCTTCTTAAACAACACCGGTCTTTGTGCAAGCAATCCATCACTCGGCCCTGAGATCTGCTCTTCTAGATTTGAAAACTCGAGCAAAATATCCTCCGGGCTCCTCGCTATAATCGTAGTTATAGCAACAGTCTTACTCGCATCAGCTACACTACTCACATTCTTCCTAATTAAAACTTGCTGGAAAAAGGAACATGAATCGGATTCCAAGTTTGAGCTCACTTACTATCAGAAGTTGAATTCGAGTTTCAAAGAGTCAGACATTTTGTCAAATTTGACTGAAAATAATGTGATCGGAAGTGGTGGGTCGGGAAAAGTATATCGTGTTGAGTTGAACTGTTCAAGTGAAATTGTAGCAGTTAAGAGGATTCAGAATATCAAGAAGTTGGATCAAAATGTCGAGAAGCAATTCCTAGCAGAAGTTGAGATATTGGGCACAATTCACCATTCCAACGTAGTGAATTTGTTGAGTTGCATTTCTAGTGAGACTACAAAACTTATTGTTTATGAGTATTTGGGAAACCATAGCTTGGATAGTTGGCTCCATGGAAAAAAGAGGCAAAGCATATCGGATTCAGACCACGGTGTTGTCTTGGATTGGCCTAAGCGGTTGAAAATTGCCGTGGGAGCTGTCCGAGGGCAATGCTACATGCACCATGATTGCAAACCTTCAGTAATTCACCGAGATGTGAAATCGAGCAATATTATGTAGGATTCTCACTTCAATGCAAAAGTTGGAGATTTCGGCCTAGCCAAGATATTGGTGAAGCATGGTGGGCCTAATACGATGTCAGCTGTGGTTGGCACTGATGGGTACATTTGTCCAGGTAATTAACATATAAATTGATTTATTTTTAACTTATTTTTGTCTTTAATGGATTATTTAAAAATAAATAAATAAAGTTAGATTTTTTTTTAATGTTTTTTTAATTCATTTTTAAAATGGTTTATTTTTGTCATTAATAACTTTTTTCAAATAATTAAAAAAAATAAACCGCTTAGTTGCAAATTGCAATCGGAGCTGGTAGGGGCCAAGCATAAAAATTTTAAAACGTAGAAGTTGTTACGAAAATATGTTAAATCTTGTCAAAAAAAATTTGAAAAGGTTTGTTTTTTTCTTTAAATAGATGTTTGGAAAATTTTCAAAATTTTAAAGATTGTCTAGTCAAGATGGACGGAAATTTTTCTAAGAAAAATTTAAAAAAAAAAAAAAAATCTAAAATTTAATCCTTGTAAAGATTGTCTAGTCAAGATGGACGGAAATTTTTCTAAGAAAAATTTAAAAAAAAAAAAAAATCTAGAATTTGATCCTTGTAACAAAAAATGCCTGAATTTTTAATTTTGTCAATTTGAACAATAATTTTTTGATTTATTATCAATGTAAACTATCAACCTATTTCCGTTAAGCAAAACCTATGGTAATTTGTATTCTAGTCATTAAACTCAATGTAAGTGTAAATAAAATATCTAAAATATATTTTTTCATTAAGTTTAATGATTAAAATACTTATTTTTTTCTTCATCAATTTTCCTTAACGAAAATAGGCAAATGATTTAGATTGAAACAATCAAAAGATTGTGGTTTCAATTGACAAAATTAAAAATTCGATTTATTTTGTTACAAAAGTCAAACTTTGATTTTTTCCCCCCCAAAATTTAAAATCTTGGTTCCAAATCATGGTAAGAGTTAGCTAGGAGATGAGTTAAAAATTAAGGAAATGTGGAAAATTTTTGAAACAATCTACTATAGATGAAAATAAGTAAAATTTTGTTGAAAAACTCCTAAAAAGTTTACTTATTTTTGTCTTTAATGAGTTTTTTTTTTTTGAAAATTTAAAATTTTTTAGATCGGTCTAGACTAGATTGATGTAAAAAAAGAAAAAAAAAAACCCTCAAAGTCGTGAAAAGTTTACTAAAAATAAAAAATATAAGACAAAAAAATAAGTCAACTTATAAGCTGTAACTAAAAAATTCCTAAATTTTATTTTGCATTAATGTTTTTTGGCATTCATACTTTAAATTATATATGACTTTCAGAGTATGCTAGGACAATGAAAGCGAATAGCTTCGGTGTTGTCCTTCTAGAACTAGTTACTGGTAAGAAAGCCAATGAAGAAAATGAAAATATGTGCCTTGCCGATTGGGCATCTCAATATTGCAATCAAGAAGGAAACAACTTCGTTGATGCCCTAGATGAGAAGATTAAAGAACCTCATTACTTGCATGAAATGACTTCTGTTTTCAAGCTTGGGATCAATTGCATTCGCCAACTTCCCTCCAATAGGCCTAGCATGCAGGAGGTTTTACAAATCTTGCTCAATTGCAGCCATCAATCGGGATTTGGAGGGGGTAATGTTGAGAGAGAATGACTACAATTCTGATTTCTGATGATTTTAGGCAGGGAGCATTTTTGAAGGCGATGATGGAAGTTTATTGTTCAATGTTTAGTTAGTCTTTTCATTCTTGACTATTACATAAGCATTCACAATTACTACCACAAGAAAGCCGCCCCCTATCTCTAAAGGGGCTTGTCATTTCGTTCGTCTGTAGAATCTGTCATAATGTCTCTCCACCCACAGCCAAATGTTGGACCATTTTAATATCTTTTATTTATTTGTTTATATTGTTCATGAATCTTCTTTTGTCTTATTCATGAATCTCATCTTGTTCATGAATGGAGTTTAATTAGAATTCATGAACTTGGTGGTGAGTTAATGTTTGGTACATTCTCTATTTTCTCTAAGTTCATGGTCGTTATTGTTTTTTGATATATTTTGTAATGTCTTAGTGGCCTATAAATAGTTCTTCTCTTCTACTCTTTTCGGCATCAACTCACCAACTATTTTTCTGTACTTGAGAGATTACTAGCAAAGACGGGTGTTTTTTTTGGTGGAGCTTTGGGTTCACCATCTTGTGCAGAGTTGGCTTGAACCATACGACAAGTGGTCGGGCTGTTGTATCCTAGAGGGAACAAGTCATAATTTTGTGACTGTTGCATCGGTATTTGGGTTCTTCTTACCGTAATGGGCTTGATCTCCTTAAAGAAAACGAGATATCCATACCTCAGCCTGATCTATTTGTATCTCATTTTCTTTGCATTATTTATCAATAAAATATTTTTTTCTGGTATTTTCCCTAACAATTTTAAGGAGATCAATCATGGATCAAGTTCCAAAAAAAAACCAATGATGGAATTGGAGATCTCAACAAGCCTTTCAAGTTCAAGGGAGTTCATTTTAAGAGGTGGAAAGGAAAAGTTTTTTTTACCTTAGCATTTTGAAAGTTGCATATGTTCTTATCGAGAAGAACCCAAACAAAATCCCAGTCGAGGACATGAATGATAAAGACTACAAGGCACATGAAGCAAAAGTGGCTTCCTATAATACAGATGAGTATAAATGTCGCTTTTATCTCTTAAATTGCCTTGCTGATCAATTTTATGATTACTATGACACTACTTACACTTCTGCAAAGAAAATTTGGAAAGCTTTACAGACTAAGTATGATACTGAAGAGGAAGGAGCAAAAAAATATGCAGCTAGCCGCCTTTTTCGATTCCAAATGGTGGATGGAAAATCTGTTGTGGAGCAAGCACAAGATTTCCAAATGATAGTTGCAGAAGTAAGATCTGAAGGCATCAAGATTGGTGACAACTTGGTAGTTGTAGGACTTGTTGACAAGCTACTGCCATCTTAGAGAGAATTCCAAAAAAACATGCGTCACAAACAAAAAGGAGACTTCCTTAGAGGCGTTGATCACTCGCATTCGAGTCGAAGAGGAGGCTAGAGGCCAAGATGCATTAATAACACAAGCGGGTAATGACAATTCTACCACAAAGGTAAACTTTATTTCTGCAAATAATAACTTACCCAAAGGTCACAATTCTAAGAATGCTTATTTGAAGCCTTATAAAAAGAATATGAAGAATTATGGTAAACCTCACAATAAATGGATTAATCCAAATAAGAACCAAGGTCCATCACCTCCATAAAATTTTACATGCTTTGTCTGTGGCAAAAGTGGACATATTGCTCGAACTTGCAAATTTCGAAAACGTGCACCTGCCCCAAAGGCTAACATTATCGAGGAGCCATTTGTGGAGATGATTATAGACATTTGCATGGTTAATTATGTAGACGGTTGGTGGACAGATTCTGGTGCTAATAGACATGTCTGTTATGATCAAGCTTGGTTCAAGGTATATACTTTCTTTGATGATGGGAAAACAATTATGCTTGGTGACTCTAGTCTAACCAAGATACTTGGTAGTGGTGAGGTTGACCTGAAGTTCACCTCTGGACGTGTGCTTACTTTAAAAGATGTGCTTTATAAACCGTCCATGAGGAAGAATTTGATGTCAAGTTATTTGTTGAATAAGGCTGGTTTTAAGCAAACTATGGAATCTGATCAATATGTGATTACCAAGAAGGGTATTTTTGTGGGTAAGGGTTATGCTTGTGATGGGATGTTCAAATTGAATGTTGAGATTAATAAACCATCTACCAATTCAGTTTACATGTTGTCTTCTATTAATTTTTGGCATGCTCGCTTATGTCATATTAATAGTAAATATGTGGGAATCATGAGTAGTTTAGAATTAATTCCTAAAGTGACAAAAAAAT